CCAAAACTTGTTTTTTTTACATTGAAGGATACCTTATAAATAAGAAACGGGGATTTGAAACAAATTCGTATCAGCAAAGTACTGCGATTGCATTTATTTCGAGAGGCAAATATTTCGATACATACCACGTACGTTTTGTCTCCCATCAGATGGCCATCCACTATTGTCAATATAATTGATAACGTTATTAGTAATTGTATTTTGACTAACATATTTCACGAGACCTATACGAACGGCGCCGTAGGGTAGGGTAGTTGATCCTTTAGCTATGATAATCTGCGCCTGTAGCTATGAAAACATATCCAATAAGGACGTTTGCATACTTGCATCAATCATAAAATTATTGCGTAATTTTGAGACGATTTCTTTGCTGCCACATTATATTATTTGGAATAGCATTTAAGTAAGTGTTTGCGTTTTTATTGCATATTAATTAATTATTAGATACTATGCACCTACCAAAATTAAAGTCGCCATGGATTGCCCGGTAGAGATTGCTATTTAGCCGTAAAGTCGCCTATGAAATATTGAATTCATTTATATTTGATTTATTGAAAATATTGTTTCTCTATCAAAATAAAGAATGAGCACCTAATATTATTGTTAAATTGTATATACCCGTGTACACGCCTTAAGTAACACACAATGAGCGGATGTTTTAGTTATATTCCAAGAAGGTAAAGTCTATGACAATAGTATGCTTTTATAACTGCTGTATATGAGCTAATTAGAAAACTTTTCTATGATAATATAACATATTTATAGCCGCACACGGGCCGAGAAGTAAGTAATATTTTACTTTGGTAAAAGTTAATGCTGTCACTTTCTTCGCGATAACAACAAAATAAGACAGCACGTGACATACACTTCTCTAAATAAAGAAAAAAAAATACTAGAAAAATTCTACGCGGTCCAGGAAGCAGACGGGACTCGAACCAGCACCCTCCGCCATCCGGGCGGACGCACAGACCAATTATGCTACCATGTCCTAATAACCTGATTCTTATTTTTGAAGTGAAAACTTCGTTAGCGGCGTTGTACACTTTTTTGTAATGGGTAAAAAATGATAATCTTGCGTCAGGACACGTGACCTAATCGAAAATTTGTAAGACGAAAACAATAAATTTGGAAAGGTTGTTGTCTTTCAATATATTGGACGAAACATAGTTATATTTTATTTTATCGTATTATAATTATTATTTATTAAATATATTATAATTATCGTATTATAATTATAAGTCTCTAATTAGGACGTCCAGGTGGCAGCTTTATTGCGAAGAAAATGCATTTTTTTACAATAGATCGCTAGGTGCGCTCAAATGTTATTTATGTAAGTTGATTTTCCTGAGAGATAAACTTTTTAAATTAATATAAATTGTCATGTTTGTGTACGATAGCACAATAAATAAATATTGTATTCTACCACATAAATGATAGTACTTTTATACTGATAATTAAAGCAATTCGTGCAAAATTATTCCCTAACCATTCCAAAATATCAAAAATGCACAACGTTAATATTCAAGTTTTCACTTCTGCCGGCACTACCGGAGTGCAATCCGTTTTTTTATTTTTTTTTATTTCAGTATCCATTGTAATTTGATATTAAATGAAGTGCTGCTTACCACCCCGATACTTGATAATCCATACTCAGAGAAGTCAATTATTTATAAGTTTGATTAAAGATAACGCTGTAAATTCCATTGACATAATAAACGCATAAGGAAACACATTATTTGGACAAACATTTTTGTGCTTTTTAGGGTTCCGTAGCACGTGGCCAGTTGGAAATCGGGTGCCACGACCACGCCCGCACTCCCGGCGCGCATTCTGGGGACCGAGGTCCCTGGAACACTGCAGGAGCATTGTCTGGTTTTTAGTGGCCCTGTTCAGGGCTATAGGCAGAAATGAGCAGGGAGGAATCCCACATACCTTCTCCTCGCTCCCCCGGTGGTTGAAGGACGCGTAAGGCATTTCCCAGACACAAAAAAAAGTGTTCCGTAGCCAAATGGCAAAAAACGGAACCCATATGGATTCGTCATTTCTGTCTGTCTGTCCGTCCGTATGTCACAGCCACTTTTTTCCAAAACTATAAGAACTATACTGTTGAAACTTGGTAAGTAGATGTATTCTGTAAACCGCATTTAGATTTTCACAAATAAATAGAAAAAAAAACAAAAAAAAATCGGAGTTCCCCATACTTAGAAACTCAAAAAAAAATATCATCAAATACGTGTGGGGTATTTATGGTTAGGTCTTCAAAAATGATATTGAGGTTTGTAATATCATTTTTTTCTAAACTGAATAGTTTGTGCGAGAGACACTTCCAAAATGGTTAAATGTGTGCCCCCCGTTGCTTCTAAAATAAGAGAATGATAAAACTAAAAAAAATATATGATGTACATTACCATGCAAACTTTCACTGAAAATTGGTGTGAACGAGATCTAGTAAGTAGTTTTTTTAATACGTCATAAATCGTAAACCGCAATTTACCTTTCATTCAATCAACTCAAATATATAAAAAAACATTTAATTTCATAAATATAAACCTTATGCATAAATCGTGAACCATTATTTCTAATCCTAGCAAGAATTTTTATATTATGTTACTTGCTGCTACGGAACCCTTCATGGGCGAGTGCGACTCGCACTTGGCCGCTTTTTTATATTATTACTAGCTGTCCCAGCGAACTTCGTACCACCATCAAAAAATATGGGTTGGTGGTAGAAGGGTGAAAATTTAGGGTTGTATGTATTTTTGTATGATGTAGCATAAAAAAAATCAAAAAATATGTCCCATAAAAAACAATAAGTGTGGACCACCCTTAACATTTAGGTGCATGAAAAATAGATGTTGTTTGATTTTCAGACTTACTGAATATGCATAAAAAAATTCACGAAAATCGGTCGAGCCGTTTCGGAGTAGTTCAATTACGCACACCGTCACACGAGAATTTTATATATTAGATAGGAGATGGCTCACCCTGATGGTAAGTGATCACCGCAGCTCCTAGACATCTGCAACACCAGAAGTATTACAAATGCGATCCGGGGTTTTAAGGAAGGAATACTCTCTCCTTTGAAGTTTTTCGGGTCACGTTGGTCCGGTAACATTGTACGTAAGTATATTTTTCGATTTTGTAAAACGTGGTGAAGCATTAAGATGATGGGGGTGAAATTTTTGTCACGATGTGCCTACGATGGCGTAAATCAACAGCGGGAAAAAAATCGATCATTCCTTTGAACACTCTCGGTGATAAATGCGATAGACGATACAGAGCGAAGCGAAGTACGGATGTATCGTACTCAAAGCCAAGAGATGAAGCTTGCAAAGGTTCTGGTTATCGACGATTCGAGCCGCTTGGTGCAGATGTAATCCAGAAAGAGAAGCTGGTACTGGGGTGACCCTGGTTAAAAAAGCAGTGCCCCATGTGAGGTCTTTGGATTATAAAGTTGCAGTCTAATATGTGTCAGCTCTAAAGTCCAGTCAAATAAGACTTTCACCTCGGAATTGGAGATAAACTCTGAAAATTTTGCAGAACCATTCCTCTTGACATGAGAAGTAATGTGTCACCTCAGACCATAAAGGTCATAAAATCGTTTACACTATAATTGCTTGGAAAGTGCTTTATTCTTGTTTTAAAATTGTGAAGTGGAATTCTTTGCTTTGCTACAATCTGGGGTCCTTTAAGAGAGGCGTGAAGAATTATTTTTGCAGGCCGGCAAGGTGAGGATGTTTGGTGTGGCATTTAATAATTGCTGTGCCAGCTATCTTCACGTTTGGACTCTATCACCACTTAACATCAGGTGGGGTAGAGTCATTTATTTGCCTACCTGGCTATAAAAAAAAAATAAGCAGAAAGGACTTCATTACTAATTAACTACAGCATTCTGGAAAAGTGTATGGAAATCCATTTTTAACGTGCTGAGCAGGCAGAAAAGTCTAGGGAAATTCATTGTTAACGTGTTGTTCTTTAATTTCTTTTTTTTAAGTAAATATACCGAAAATTGGTCAGTATGATTTTGCAGACTTTGCAATATATTTTTTTAGCATTATACTGTTTGCTTACTGAATTAATTTCGAAAAAAGAGCAAACAGTTCTAAGCGTGCTTATAATTTTATTTTAAATAAGATTTTCATTTGTTTTCCTATCTACAATGATTTATTGACACCACCAGAGTTAAAAGAAACTACCTAAGCAGTCATTGAGAACCTTTACCCGTGAAATCAAGAAACCAATATAAAACTGCCATTCAATAGTTTAGTAACTGTAACAACTTTAATATAAATATCAATTAAAGAATTTCTTTCATTTCCTAGCAGGTACAGTATAAAGCACTTTGTACCCCTCGAAAGAAAGAGCTATTCCGAACTTGAGTGCAGGAAGGTTGCGTCTCGGGTTTGAAATTACACCCTCGTTGCAAATCGGTCACTTTCTCCTCTCGGTGAACAATGCACTTTATTTATATTGACATTAAAACTTGGTAAGATTGTGACGGAATAGCAAAGACTGTTGGTTCTTCGCACTTATTGAGTCCCAGAAATCACTTTATCATAACATTGGCTTGGCTATTTGATTTTGTAAATTTCGCAGCGGTCTCTTCTTTTCATTCCTAATAGATCATGATAAGGATGCTGCTATCAAGTATAAGAATAGCAAATACATAATACGATTCTGTAAAATTTTGTCCAAATGTCAAAAAAGTTTTTTCCATAATAGTCCCGCTGTTTTCAAATAATGTAAAATAATAAATACCTATGCATTAAAAAATATATTTGTATATTTGTGTTAACCTTAATCATGTAAGTTTTAAGAAATATGTTTTTTATTATTAATAATATTATTGATATTATTTATTATTATTGCAGATGTCGCAATTGATTTAATTATGTACTATTTTTCAATTCTTCTTCAATATGGATTTAATCTAAATCAGATAAAATAAAACTCCAATAGTGTCCTTTATAATATTTATTTTATACAGGTGACATAAATAAAATAGGTTTCTGCTTGTTGAACTTGAATGTATAGAAATAATTGATGTATATGAAGGGAGTTCTGATGGTTTAGTCGTCATAGTAGCTGTTGGTTGGCCGACGCGACACCGTCAAGATGGACCTGTCTTCAGGACACGCCGTTTGTTTGTAATCTGAAAATCAGAGGAAGACAGGATTAACTATTTTACACGAAGCAGTGTTAAAAAGGAGCCAATTTTGTTTCATTCAGGCTATTAATATCCCCACTGTTGATGCACAGGCCTTCTCTAAGAATGGCATAGGGAGATTGGGTAATGAGCTACCACGCGAACTAATGCGGTTAGTAGAACCATAATTCTTTGGCCGAAAGGTGTAGTGTTCCGGCGGTTCCGAGGCCGGTTACTTGACACCACTCCGCGTCATACGTCGCCGTCTATACGTGTTAATTAGGTGTTTACTAACATAGTTAATAATTTTATTTACTAACAACAATGTTTTATATCTGTATATATGTTAGACTATAAGGTATTTGTGTATGGGCCTATGTAGCCTTATTATAAATAAATAAATAAGGCAAGACCTTCATCATCATCATCATCACCAGCCTATTAATGTCCCCACTGCTGTGGCACAGGCCTTCCCCATGGATGGAATAGCGAGATGAAATAGCCCCAGTGCGGATTGATGGGTGCTAATGACTGCAGATACAGTCGGGACCAACGGCTTCACGTGCCTGCCGAAGTAAGAAGGAGCTCGAGATAATACATTTTAGTCACCCATACTGCGACTGGCCTCTGAGAAAGTTGCCTGACTTCCACGATAGCAGAACGAAAAGGCTAACGTCCTAAAGCTCTTCAATAAAGTGTTTATGTCTAGTACGGAAACTCATCACGGGGCGCTACGACCATACCCGCACTCTTAACATGCGTTCGGGGGACCTCGGTCCTCAGCGTGTGTATCGGTAGTCGGTGCAAGAGATTATCTGTGGTTTTAGTGAGTACTGCACCACTCATTTCACTGAGGCCTCCAGCTGGGTAAAATGAGTGGGAGTAGTCCTCACATAAAAAATAGGTGTTATATCCTATAAAATGCAGGTCGTTGTCTGGCGTTGCTAAGACTGAAAATGCCCACATATCCTAAAGAGGGAGCTTACTCTGTCTCCTGGTGCAGTTGTAGTCGAACATATGGCAGAGGCTCTGGAAGATCTTTCTTTGCCATGCTGCACCATTTCGTATCCCTCTGAATATTTTTTTCCACGATCACAGGCAACACAGCTTACGCATTACCATCAAGCTCTTCAATAAGGAGCATAATGCTTTCAAATATCGGTGGCTGTCTGGAGCTGCTCAGACTGAAAATGTTATCCATCAATTTCTGGCGCTGCTCAGACTGAAAATGCCCTGGAGTGGTACTTACTCCGTCTCCGGATGCAGTTGTAATCGAACATATCGCAGAGGTCCCGGAAGCCCATCACCTCGCCGGCGTGGCTGAGCCCGCACACCGGCACGCGGTCGTGATTGCAAACCTTTGCCATGCTGCACCATTTCGCACCCATCTGTTGGTAATACAGAACATCTATACTACGCTTCCCTTGGGTAACCTTGCTTTTACTCTCGGGCTGGATAAGCCTCGATGACACGGGGCGGGTTTACAAACTACAAACCAGCGAGTTCGCTAGTAGCTCGTAAACGCGTCCCGTATCATCTAGTAACAGATGGTATAAAAGCCGATGACACTGGGCGAGTTTACAAGCTGTGTGTCATCGAGGCTATAGGGATGAAGAGTGAATCTGTAAAACGATTAACAATATTGTAAGGTGGAAAGATCTGAATGTTTGTTAGAATAAACTTAAAAACTGTAGTGTTTCCGTACTCCTTCTTTAAAGGCCGTCATCGCATTTGTGATACTCTTGGTGTTGCAGGTGTCTATGGACGACGGTGATATCAGGTAAGTCGTCAGCTTATTCCCCCGCACATTTAAGTCATATAAAAAAACTACTGGGTCGATTTCATAAAAACTTTTACCAGTCGAATGCTACATGATCCTTGACTAATTATATTTATTGCATTTAAATTAAGTTCACCCGTGCCAAGTAGGGACGGATCGCTTGTCTGAAATAAAAGAGAGTTCAATTGAATGACGAGCATTATGTTCACTATCAGTTTTAAGGTTCTGAAAAGAAAAGAAGGATTTTTTTTGTTATCCGTCCGTCTGTCAAATACATTTTGCTTTTCATATAGAGACATTCATTTCCTTTTTTCTTTCATTATAGATAAATCAGAGGAATATTAAAATTCATGACAGAATGATACAAAAAGAGATCTGTGTGTTTGTGTGTCTGAAAAGTGTTATTAAAAAAAAATTAAGGCGTATTACTTTTTTTACCTTCCGCCCCATGGCGATGTCCTCGCTATCACGGTCTTGAGGTGGCCCGTGTGACAGAGCCGCTGTGACGAAACATGCTACTACGAACACTGAAATATAAGTTAACGGTGCAAGTTTAAGAGAGGTAGGGCATAGAAAATTTTCCGTTAGAATTGGAGCGCCCATTTGGGGAAGTAACTTTTAGGACGGGAAGTAGTGCGGTGAGCAATAGGCCGCGCACTTAGCTCGCAGCGCAGACAGTCCTGCGCACATCTACTGGATCATCCGAGATACCCTGGGTGATTCCTGCCGCGGAACCCTGGCCGGGAAGCTGTCAGGTGAAATCACTCACGTGGATCTCGCGGTTCTGCACTTAAGCGTAGAGGGTATTCGTAGGGATTTTTAGCGAATAGTATGCTGGAAGCGCTCGTAGGCCGCGCGGACTGCTTGACGGCTTGTCCGTTTCGCACCCGTGAGATTTGCAAGAGGCTAGGAGTAAGGTTCGTTCGTTGGGGGCGCCCCTTAAGGGCGCTAAAGTTTGTAATAGAGGTTTTGCCTGCGTAACAAAAAAAGGGTAGACAAAGACGCGAGTGATAGTTTACGTATCGCAAGCGTCTATAGGCTTACCTTCAGATAGGTCATAGGCAAGCTTGTTTGCCATTCTGAACATATAAAATGCAGAAACCCATGCAAAGTTCGCTCTCAGTTTGTACTACAAACTTGGTTCGTAAACGAAATCATTTAGATTTTAGACAATGTCCCGAAATATAGGAATCTCAATTAATATTTCAGAATACCTGTCCAAAACACATTAAAGACAGTTTCACTAAGATTTCAAACTCGATAAAATTAGTAAAATATCAATATAAATATTTGTAAGTGTACCTACCATGCAAATATATTTTCCATGATGACACCATAGTTGTGAATTATCACGAACCAAATCTAGCCCCAGAATGATATAAGCGAAGCCAGTCTAGTTAAGTCTACGCTTACGATCTATTGTGACGAACCTAAAACTTCCTGTTTGCCTCCCGGTAAATGATCGATAGTTTTGTAAACATACTACAATGGTGGTACATGCCCGCATTTTCGCCTCGGAGCTATGTCGAAGCCTGTAAATAATAAATACTTTTATAACAAATATATTTATTTAATCATTTAACTGTTAGATTATTCATTATGAAAAAATATCTACTAGAAAAAAAATCACTCGGTCCAGACATAAAACAGGAATTGAACTTGTACCTTCTGCTATCCGGGCGGAATGTCTGATGCCTGGGTCGAGTGGTATTTTTTTTTCAGGAGTTTTGCTTTATTGTACACCATGAAATTTCAAATTACAATCAATTTAAGATTTTATAAGTATTATATAAATAATTATGTATTAGTTATTCACGCATTCTATGACATACCAATTCGAATTTCCATAAAAGCAACCCGAAAGTGTTTATACTCGTAAGTCTTTGGTTCATTTTCTTAACCGTCTACGAAAGAACCAATAATTTATTCACTTTTTCGTTACTGGTTAAGAAAAAAGTTTTTTATTACATTTTCGTAAATGGGTTTATAAATCGAAAAAATAGACTAAATTATATATATACGGCACATATGTAATTTTTATTGACACTTTCTAGATGAGTTTGACGATGAATGGAAAAAATATTCTTATTACATAACCAGTTAGGAAAAGGTGAATAAAAATTCTTATTTCGTACATGGCTAAGAAAAACGATTAAGAAGCGCTAATATCTACATACTCCATACAAATACCTAATACCGATATCAGTTAACTGAACGAATGTGTGAAATAACAAATTCTTACGAGTTTTATATTCACAGTTGAATTCCAGCATGTCACATTTATTGAGGAACCATCTCACTTCTCTAGTGTAATGATCCAGGCCGCAGCGCCTGTGGCCACGGTGGATACAACCAAAGGCTTCTAGGCAAGTATACTGAAAGGATACCACTGGTAAAGTAAGTTATCTTACTGTTTTAAACTTACATGGTCACTAACATTAAAGGATTTTTTGTTATTAGCGGGACCATGGACCTCGTTTTTAGCGAGTCCCCGATATTTCGGCATTGTTGTAAGCACATAACACAGAAAGATGTTAAAAGGGTGTTCATAGACCGTTTGTATGGGAACCGATGTCGCCGGCTTGCCCCCACTACACTAGTACCTAATAGATAATCAACCGTCGCGACATCAAACAGAACCAATCAGCGCTCAATCACACCCGACAGCAACGACAGTCATGAGCATTTGCTCACACATAACTGTGGCGTGCCTGCCCCGCCCAATAGGGCCTTTCTATCTTCTTTCTGTGTTCTGTGGTAGAAAGCGTCATGATCATAGAGTAATATAATGTTCATATGCAACAGTGCCGAAATATTGGGGACCAGCCAAAACAAGGTAAATGCTAGCAAACCCGCTAATAACAAAAATTAATTTAAAGTTATCATCATACTACACTGGCCAACAAAACTAAGTATCACATTATAATTTTATTGTTTTAAGCATAATGCGAAGAGATTACAGCTTAAGAATGGCTAGAAGAATTTCGACGCCGCCGTTAGGGCCGTGGTAGCATAATTGGTTTGTGCACTCGCCCGGATAGCGAAGGGTGCGGGTTCGAGTCCCATCTGCTGCCTGGTCCTCGTGGATTTTTTTCTAAAATCGGATTTTTTTATAATCTTTTTTTTCTAAACTATAACAGTCACAGATTTAATACAAAAAAAATACGTTTTATAGCAAATTTTATCAGCTTTATTAAACTAAACATAAATAAAATTTAACTCTTTTCCGAATCCTTTTTATTTCAAAAGTATATCTTGTGTAATTAAAACGTTATTTCAATTTCAAAAGTGTATTTTATAAAAAACCCATGCAATGTCCATCCTGTCTTAATATTGTAAATGCAAACAAAAGTGTGTCTGTTTATCTGTTTCTACATGCTTTAACCGCTAAACTGACTTAGATGAAATTGTATATAAAGATAGTTTAAGTCCCGTGAAACGACATGAATAGTAATTTTTATCCCAAAAACTATCCTTCACGTAGCTAAAAATCACACAGACGAATTCGCGGAAATGCGGTAGTGTATGATAAATTAAAGTCATAAAAGGACATCGACGAAATCGGCCCTAGCATGCCCAAAAGAATGTCCTTCACTATTATCTTTCTATTATTTTTTAACATATTAGCAATTAATCATAGTAAACGGACAATCTGTTTAAAAAAATAAAAAAATAAAGTTCTGTTACTAGATACTACAGTCTATTCATCCAACTTGGCACTCCTTTTTATTGAAAAAACAGCATTAAAAATCAACTGATAACTGGATTCCAAAGGTTTCAGTCTATAATAACGATTTATTTTAATAGTTTATTGGCTTCGTTAATATTTTATTATTAAATGGTTCATTCTGTTAAAAAGTTGTGCCAAGATTGTTTACCTTAATAAATGCATTAGAGGCGACCATAGGTATTTATCAATAGAAAAATAGAGATACCTTAGTTAATAATACTTATTACTAGTATTATATTTATAAAAAGATTATTTCTGAAATTATGTAAAGATAGTTTATACTCCCATCCCATGTAATATCTGTTTATTTTTATGAAAATCATAATGATAACCAGGTACATACCTAATTACCGATAGTAAAATATAGAAACAGGTAAATGGAAAGACTGAACATTTCATTTGAAAAGAAATCTATTATTACTACAGGTAAGGTGTAGGTATCGTAGGTGCCAACTGACAACACTCATTAATCAATATGAATATAAGCATTTATTATTTTTATTATTAATTGCATTTTATGTTCATTTAATGCATATTATTTAAGTGCTTACATAGAGGTAAACACTAAATCTATTCAGAATATATAAAGTGTACATCTTTTACGATTAATTAGTATAATAATTATAACCTCAAAATCAAATACATTCTGTAGTAGGCCACGGTTCCTCAAGTTGTCCGTATCTCAACAAATGCCTAATTAGAGTTTATGAATGATTCCGAACACAACTAGCATTTTCTCATTGCTGGGCGTTCTAGGGCATTCAATGTATGGGGAACGAGCAATGTCCTTTAAATCTAAAGAAAATATTACTAGAAAAACATTTCACGCGGACCAGGCAGCAGACGGGACTCGAACCCGGACCCTTCGCTATCCGGGCGAATGCACTGACCATTATGCTACCGCGGCCCTGACGGCCGTGTCGAATTCTTTCTAGCCTTTCTTAAGCTGCAAGGCAGCGCCATCTTTTCGCATTGTAGGTAACCCACAATGTCAAATGAATACCTTTATTAAACATTTGAAAGAAGAAATAGCAATTATAGTTATAAATCAAACATTGAGCAGTAGCACGCTTAAAAAATAAAAATTATAGTCATAAAAGTTTTTTTTTTATAATAAGTTTGTCATTAAAATCGCTTTCACGCGTCCCAGTATTTCTTTATCCCTACCACTGCTTTCGTACTTTTCTTTTAAGCCGTAGATGGCAGAAGGATATACTGAAAATAATTACTAGCACCAGTAACTTTTGAAAATACATTATTTTTTCTTAGGTCAAACCGAGAAGTAGTACATATAGAATTGGATTTAAACATTGAATTTATTTTTTAACGACTGTTTTATTGGTTTTAAATATTTTATATTTTGTATGATAAAAACGTTGTTTCAATGTTTGTTTATAATAATTTATTATGTGTAATAAATTACACATTTAATCATTAAGTTACTCCGCGATCATGGCGCTTGCGTCAATGCCGAAATATGGGAAACTCGCTAGAACAAGGACATGGTGGCAATCCCGTAAAAATATAAATTACTATAATATTCCTATAAGTGACCATAAGGTGATTATGAAAGTTTAAAACAATATATTATCTAAGAATATTTTTAAAGTTTATCTGCCACAAGGAGAATATGGTGTAAAGCTATGTGTGTACGTATTTATAACTCGAGAACGAGGTTGTATTACGACACCGAACTAAAGAAATATCACCTGTGCATTTTTCCTTATCACAATCGTTTATTTCGTAGTTTAAAACAGGCAAGATAAAGTGTTATGGGGTCCGTCATTTTACTTTTAGGTAAAACTAGAATATTTGTTATACTTGTTTTATGTTTATCCAGTGTACAGAACACCAATATTGTTTACGTACAACATGGGATGATTCTTACACTAATGTATAAATAATATTATTTTAAGAGGGTTAGGGCATATGAGGGATTTACACTACCCAATTTTAAGGGACCGTTATCCTGACTAAGTGTGGTGTAAGGGACCCGATCTAGGGCGATCGTCACGATGTAATAATTAGTTACTATAGCTAGGAGCCACGCCCACCCTTTTGATTGGGCCCTTAAAATTTGTTTATTGTAAATCCCGTTATAGCGGAATTGGAACGCCCGTCCGAGGAAGCAACCTCCACCTTACACAAGATGACAGTAAAATAACAGTACCTTTTGGTAGTGTTGTGTTTCTGCTTTTGAGTAGAGATCCTGGGCTCCACGGGGAGCGGCACAATTACTCTCTTCGTGACGGGACTCCACCTACATTTAACATCTGGTGGATTAGTGTAATTTGCTGCGTTTCGTTTATAAAAAAAAGTATTTGAACATAAGTCCATAACCCACCAAGTGGCATAGTTTCTGAACCACTAAAAAGTCCAACATTTTGACTTTGCATTGCTCATGTGTTTCCTCCCGTCCACAAACCCGGGCTCCTCTAAAAGAGGCTTGAAAAAGCAACTCACAGGTCGGCAGGGTGGGGATGGCTGGTGTGATAGGTAAAACAGCTGTACGAGCCAATTTCATGTCTGGATTCCGCTGTTAACATCAGGTGGGGTGGAGTCATTTGTCGGACCTATTAATAAATAAAAAAACAAAATGTCAATAATTTGATCACTCATCCTATCATCATCATCACCAGCATATTAAAGTCCCCACTGCGGGGGCACAGGCCTTCCCTATGGATGGAATAGAGATACTGGGCCGGGACCCTCCACGCGGGCGAAGTGTGGATTGGTGGGTGCTAACGACTGCAGATGTATGGCTTTACGTAACTTCCAAAGCACAGAGGAGCTCGACGTAATAATTTTTTGGTCACCCATCCAATGACCGCCCATTGCGATTTTGCCACCTTGGTCCATGGTAACATGTACTCAAATATCGTTCTCGTCTTAATCCCATATTTCATTGATTCGCTACAAACTACATATAACATTCTTTCGTGCATAGTTTGGATTATATTGTGTTTTTCGCTCTCAGTATAATCAAGAGCCACTGACTATAGGAAAAGTTTCGATTTCGTAATAAGATATTAACTGGATCCTAGATAATTGGCTTTAGCTATGTTATGTATTAATAAGGCAGAAAAATTAACTCGTATACATTTTAGGATATAAATGCATGATATGTAGTAAAACTAAACTTATTTTAGGGAATAATTTTTTTCTTTTTATTTTTAGGTTTCATTTGCGCAGTGTCAGTTTTTGCAGCAGAAGATAATCAAGACAACCAAGTTAGTATTAAACATTTAATACGTACGTCCTTATTGTGGAATTTCATTTGCATAATTAATAAGAAGACATTGATGAGTACACGTTTGTTTGTATACGACATCTACATCTTCATTCAACTGAAATCCGAGTATTTGAACTCTAGCCCCCTTATTAATAAAAAAGGCATAAGCCTAGACTAGTTACGCTGTGTTTTGTTCATGTCACTCAAATGCCATTTGTCATTCAATAGACAAAGACAAAACATGGAGTAACTAATCCAAGCGTAGTCTTCGTTTATTAATAACTGGGAATAAGATCCGGAATGGTTTTATTTTATATGACTGTAAAATATAAAGTTTTCCTATTATGCTGTATAAAATTATTAATTCTGACCCTGTTTCAACCCCTTATTTTTTTATTCGCCTACAAACCCGCGTTCCTGTTCAACTCATACTCAATTATTTTTGCATTTATAATATCAGTTTAGTTGCGAATATGAAAATAAGCTT